AGGGAAAGACAATTCCTCAAGCACGACTAATGCTTAAGGGATCTGGCTGAACTGCTATAGAAAGAAAAAGGAGAGGGGGAGAAAGAGAGAAAGAAAGGCAGGGAAGAGAGAAAGAAAGGAGGGAAGGAAGGAGAACCCTCGCGGGAGCAAAGCTTTCTCTGTAAGCCACTTTAAGTTTAGACTTTATCCTAAGGACAACGGGAAGCGTTACAGGTTTTAGCCGGGACATGCTTGGATATGCTGTGTGAAGGGGTTGGGAGAACACTGTACATAAATAATTAAGATCAGACCGCATGGCAGAAAGGTGATCTGGAACCCGTACCCCCATAATGACTATCTCTTCCCTTAACTTCTTCCTTCTCCTTGGTCCTCTGCCCCTTTGTTTACTGTTACTGTGCATGTTCTAATCTGACCTAGAAATTTCTAGAAGTTCTAGCAATGTATCTTAAAGATGTGATCAGGAGCTAGCTGTTACTCTTTGCTGCCTTATTTCTAAGAACATAAAGTTTAAAATGATCTAAATAGGAATTAAGAGACTTTCATAGGACCGATTGGTGTATGTAGCCATTAAAAACTATTGGAGGGCTTCCCTGGTGGCGCAGTGGTTGAGAGTCCGCCTGCCGATGCACGGGACACGGGTTCGTGCCCCGGTCCGGGAAGATCCCACATGCCGCGGAGCCGCTGGGCCCGTGAGCCATGGCCGCTGAGCCTGCGCGTCCGGAGCCTGTGCTCCGCAGCGGGAGAGGCCACAACAGTGAGAGGCCCACGTACCGCAAAAAAAAAAAAAAAAACCCAACAAAAAACTGTTGGAGAATGTTTGAAAACATGTAAATGATTACATTAGAAAAGTAATACAGGGACTTCCCCGGTGGTCCAGTGGTTAAGACTTCACCTTCCAATGCAGGGGGTGCGGGTTCAATCCCTGGTCAGGGAACTAAGATCCCCCATGCCTCACAGCCAAAAAACCAAAACATAAAACAGAAGCAATATTGTAACAAATTCAATAGAGACTTTAAAAAAATACATTAAAAAAAAGTAATACAAATTGTTCTAGAAAGATAAGGTGCACCAGGGTTTTGACAGGGGTTCTCTGGGGAGGTAGAGTCATAGTCAATTTGCTCTCTTCTCTTCTGCCCAATTCCTGGTCACCCAGTCTGCCACCTCACCAGCACTTATACATGGACGTGTACTGTTTTGGAGGAAATTCCCATTAAGTTACTCAAAAAGGAGGCGACATTTCCAAGGTAAACTCAGACTACTGATAGCAGTTTTTTTTCCAATTGCTACATAATGTCAGTAAGATAAAGCAGTGCCACCCACAGGTCAGCTTCCAGGTCATAGTTCACCCTGGGGGATTCTCAGAACTCTAGGACCCAGAGGTACCCTGGGCTCACCCATAAAGCACAGGTGGATTCACAGCTGAAGCTGCACTATCTGGGATTTTAGGATTATAGTAGGGCAGACTGGGTGGGAGTAGAAATAGGTGTTGAATCACTGCTGGTTGGTTCAGCACAGCCTTGTATACTATATATTGTTCATTCCATTGCTATTCACTGATTGGCATATCACATTTATAGGTCACTTGTGCCTATAGCACAGAAAATCTAGCATGTGTTTTGCTCTATGTGACTGCCCAGCCCTGCTTTTCCTCCCTCTCCTTCACCCCAAAGAGTCCCCAAGTTTCCACTGACCTAGAATGTTTATCCTTATTTGTGGGAAGGGACAATGGCCTCCCACGCATGTCAAATCTCATCTCCACACTAGAATTATCCCAAGAAGCAAGTTCCAAAGAGTTGAACTGCCTCCTGTCTTGGCACTAGACAGCTTCCTGATCACAAGCAAGTCTTTCATCTCCATATTTCTGTTCTACCTTTGTAAGAGACGGAATTTCACTTATTCAAGTCTGGCTATCCTACCCTCTGGGGAGCATGAAGATTTCAGATTCCCAGGCACCTACCAGAACTACTGAATCCGTCTCTGGGGTGGACATCCAGGAATCGTTATGTTTCCCAGATGATTTGATGCAACTTCTCTAACCACATTCAAACACCACTGAATCCAAGGTTCTCTCCAGCCCTGAACTTAAGGCCAGACTTAAGGGGCTTGTTCTAGTCTTAAAGATGCCAAATGCTAAGTGAAGGCTGATAGAGAATGGGTGAAAGTCCACAGGAGAAAGAGTCTCTGCCTCACTCCTACCTTGCACCCCCATCGAGCTAACCTCCTTCTTGCCAAGCTCATTTTCCAGTCATCTCCATTAGTTTATGTCTTCTTTTCTCACCAATTTCTCACCACCCCATCAATCAAGTCTACCTGTGGTACACACACAGCCTCATCGGAGGGTCAGTTGGGTATCTGTTGCATTACCATTAAATACTTCGATAACTTGTTTGAGAGTCTCCAGGGAAATGCCACTGTATCCTTTGGCTAAGACATTGATCCTTAAAGCCAAGAGCATCCGGCATCTCTCAGGGTTTAGTGGCTTCCCAACACCTACAAAATAGAATTGATGTTTTCTCCAAGAAAAACAAAATCTTTTCCTTCTCCCAGCCATCTCCATCTCAGATTTCTCGCCACGTCTTGGCTCAGATACTTGCACTACTTTCTCTCCTGATTCTCTTGCTTCTTCAAGTCTCATCTTCCAGACAGATATGAGAATCCAGTTTTGCCTTCTCACTTCCCCTTCTTGGAAGCGTCAGTGAACGCCCCGCCCTCCTCCGTACCCTTAGAATAGCGTCCGGACTCCTCAGCACAAGCTGTCTTGCAGTCTGATGGGATTCTTGACAGACTTTCCCTGTCTCACCTCATCCCGAACAACTCCTCCCTGAGTTCCAGCCTTAATTTCGTCCCCTGACTGCATCGCTCTCTTGGCACGACGGTATTCACGTGCCCATCCCAACCCCATCCTTTCACCTGGCCCATTCCTTTTTCTGAGATTCAGTTGAAAGGTGGTCTTGTGTGATGCTTTCTGCTTCCCCCCTCTCCGCCCCGCCCCGGCAGCAGAATTGGCACCTACTCCTTGGAATCCGCTAGCTTCTGGATGCTGTTAAAGGATGCCTGACACTGTGCTATGCAGTCGTCCGAGTATTGGTTCCAGGGCCCCCAACCCAAGCCCCCTGCAGATACCAAAATCCCCGGATGTTCAAGTCCCTTATATAAAGTGGTGTAGTACAGTCGGTCCTGAGCATCTGCAGGTTCCTAATCTGTGGATTCAGCCAACATCCCAGGCTGCTTGAATCTGGGAATGCAGAACCCGGAGATACCGAGGACCGACTGCACTTCATTCGAATCAAACAAGATCTAGGAGGCACTGAATGTGTGGAGTGAGTTACCTGAAGAATGTGAACGTACTAGGTTGACCTGGAGCTCCCTGGAAGAGGAAGAGAAAAAACCCTCTTAGATACTCACCGTGAAAATGTTCCCTCAGCTGGGAACATAGTTAAGTCTTTGGAGGGACAGAATAGGCATGATGGGGCAATGGAAGAAACCAGCAAGTCTGTGTTTTCTATATCAACTCATGCCTCACCCTCCTTATCTGTAAACTGGGGCAAATGTTAATTATTTCTGTTGTTGAAAGAAATCTCCAAAATGAGAATAAGTGGCATGTGACTGTGTGTGTGTTTGGTGGGGAGGAATCAAACTTACTCTAGTTTACTGACAGGAATTACAGTTCTGGCAAATTTCCCAAAACCTGTAGTAATGCCGTAAACAACTACAATAAAAACCAGACGTTATACAGTTAGACACAGGCGGCATCTTTTAAGCCTATAAAAAGAACTGCGTAATACAAAGAGAAAAGGATACCAGTTTTTTCTTTCACGATGCTTTCTATGACTTCCCTGGAGTTTTGCACCTTCTTTTCAGCAGTGGGGGTGAGCTAGGAAAACATTGGTCAGAGCTGAACATGTCAAAGATTTACACGTGCCGCGAAAAAGGTCAGAGGATGTCTTTCCCCTCCTTCCAGCATACCTTGATTTTGTAGTGTCCCTTGCCCAAGTTGACCAGGTCCTCTGTGGTCAGGCTGTCCCCATCTAAGGCAATGTACTGCACAAAAGAAGGGAATCTCCGTGAGTACAAACAGCTTAGTCGCTCAAACAAAAGAGTAGGGAAGCCTGAAGCAGAATTAAGCTCTGACACGTCAGAGATTTTATCACTACTATCAAACACTCATGTGCTAGTTACAAAGACAGCATGCTGAAGAGGAGGTTGAGGAAGGAAAATTAGAAGTGGAAAAGCATAACGCCTTTCCCTATTACACAGAGCTAGATAAAGCCCCGTCCTCATTGATGGTGCTTGGTCACAAATTTTGCTAGCCCTCCCCCTCCTTAAATGAGGGGTGGGGGGACTTAATTTTCTTAAAAAAAGGAAGTGGTTTGAAACTTACCTTTTCGGGTTCCCGGTATTTGCTGTATCTGTAGCCAGGTAAAGGAAAATACTGGGTAGTGTGGAAAAGCCCCAGCCCCATCACTGGCAGCAGTAGCTCCCAGAGCAGACCAACAAGCCTGCAGGAAAGGATACAGGTAAACTCCTTCCGGTTGCGATGGAATGAAGTCGGAAGACATGGCATCCCCTTCTATAACTGAAACAAGAATGCAAGAGAGACCCCTTAGGGATCACGGTGGAGAGCCACTTTTGGCGTTACTGGTAAACCAAGAAAAGGGCTCTTCAGTTGCCTTCGAAATTCTACAGAAATGGCTGCTTTGAAACAACTTCTCATGCTTTACAATTTACAAAGGAGGAAAGCAAGAGGCAGAGATGTAGGTGCCAGGCATGCATGAAAGGGCTTAAATGAAACTTCAAGATCCAACCCCACCTCCATCCCCATCACCAGCTTTATTTTGTTTTAAGTCTATTGTTTTAATATTTAATATTTAAAATATATTTAATATTTAAATCTATGTGTTTTAATATTTGATAGTTTCATTAAACAAGATAGATTTAATTTTGTTTTAAATCTATGCTGCTGGTCTTCAGTCTGGTGAGGTTCTTTTGAAGGGCAAAGGGATTTTCAGGATGATTCGGTAACTGCAAAAGGCTTCAGCCCTTTTGCGGTCTTGAGTTCAAATCTAGTCTTTGCTACTAGTAAGAAGTCTCCTCTTTCCCGAGTCGGCTGCCTCGTTGTAAAAGGTGGATAAGACTCCTGCCTTCCTCGCAGGGGTGTGCGAGAACCCCGTCCCCGCTCCCCGCCCGCCCCCCACAATTGGGGAGGACAAGGGACCGTCCCTCCCGGGAATGCCCGGCCAAGTGATTCGCACCCCTTCCCTCCAGCCACTCACCCACTTCCACGAACTCGTTGTCCTCCAGGGCCACCTCCAGCGGGTCCTCGTGGTCCAGCAGGCCCAGGCCCTTGCAGCGGCGCACGAGGAAGCTCACATTGTCCACCGAGGCGAAGCCACCATTGTCTGGCTTGTTCTTGATGTACCTCCGCACGGCCTCCCGGCCCAGCCAGCCCACCGTGAGCTGCGCATCCTGGCAGGGCACCGCCAGCCACTCTCCGCGCACGTGCACCGTATACCTGGGCATGGTCGTCCGCTGGCGACAGTCACCGGGAGGGGAGAGTTTTATCCGGGAATGACTACCGAGGTGTGGTTGATAGGGAGAAGTGGGATGGGCTTTCAAAACACGCCCCCTCCCTTGCCTTTACTCATTCACGCATTGGACAAATATTTATTGAGCGCCCCACGGTGTCCCTTTGATTTTTTTTGCAGCTGGAGAGCGGGATGCAGGCTGCCTTTCCACCTGCCGTCCAGGTCTGCTGCCAGCAAGGCCTGGGTTCTCCCGCGCTCGGGTCCTAGAGCCTGCCGAGCCTGCTGCTGGCCCTGTCTCCGCAGGGGCCCTGATTCCTCCCTCCCCTGGTTTCTGTCTGCGTTCTCCCCCATTAAGGGCAGCTTATAAACACCATGTTCCTGTCTTTATCTGGAATTACTCAACTGTAAAATGTTCTTCACTGGCCAACTGTGACACCAGGGAGTGTGGCAATCTTCATGCCTTTGTTTATTCCCAAATTCGTGTTGAGCAACTCCACCCTTACCACTATGAAGGTTTTCTGAAGCTGTCCCTCCACAAAGGGAGAGGGCAAGGCCAGAGATCATTTTCACAACTAAAGGTCACCATTTGGGTGACAGCCACCACCGCGCTTGGACTCCAGCTCCACTGCTTACTAGCCTGGAGCAGTAAGTTATTGATTAGCCTCTGTTTCCTCATCAAAAGGCAAAGGGGCTAATTTCCTCACTGCAGTGTTTGCAGTATCTATCTGGGATCAGATCCTGATCCTGCCATTTCCCGGCTGTGTGACATTTGGGCAAGTTACTTGACTTCTCTGGGCCTCTGTTTCTTCACCTACAAAATGGGGATGATAATAGTACCTATTTCAAAGGGCTTTTGGGAGGATTAAGTGAGTTCGTATATGTAAAGCCCTTAGAGCAGCACCTGGTGCAATGGAAATGCTATGGAAGTGTTTGTGATGACTATTGTTTGGACTTTAATATATACCTATATTGCTTTATAAATGTTCTTTCATCATGGTATCCCGAATGGATATCCCTAATCCAAGCAAGCTTCTTTAACAGATTACTGCTCCCTGCACCCGATTCATTATAGTTGTATTAAGGAACTCTGAAGAGCGTGAAAAAGGAATCAAGGAAATGTTGGCACTGTTTTAACTAGGCAGCATTTTAGCAGTAAGCCAGTGCCTAGAGATTGGATTATTCCAGTGGAAAAATCCTGAAAAGTCTGTTTCCACTAAAACAGACTTCTGTTGGGGATAGAGACACAGTTGTGATATCACAGAAAACACCCACACCCAGAACGTCCTTCTCTGAAACCCTCCCGGGGAAGTGTACAAAGAAAGAGCTGCCCCTCCTTGAGCTTCATTAAAACTTGCACTTCAGCCACCTACGCCCTGACCGCACTCTGGAATTCGTCATCACCTGAATTTCATCCACATAAGAAATCCTAAATTCCGGTACCCCACCTTCTGACCACAGCCTCCTCGCCTTCCCGTTCTCCCCTTACGTCAGTCATCTCCGACCTTGACCCTGGCTTCCGGTCAGTGTTTTCTTCTCTGCACTTCCCACTGGCTTTCTCCCTTACTTTCCTTGGAAGCTGGTCCCCTAGTTACTCACCTGGACCACTTTCTTCAGCACTTTGAAATTCCTTCATAACCCTAACCCTATTCCTACACTCTGAATAAACCGCCACCCGTCTCCCACCCCCGGGGTTATCACAACAAACATCCATCTGTGTTCACCGGGAGAGGCAGGCTCTGCTACAGAAAGTCTTGTGATGGGTAGATGGTGGCCCTGCCTCCTAATGCCCCTCCCCCTTAGAGAGTTCCCCAAACAGTCACCCCCCTCCTCAAGGACCTTCTCAATAGCTACCTCCTCTAATTCTCAGAGGAAGCCCTTACCAACTACGTCTCAGAAAACTGAGGCCCTTAGGTGTGAAGCACCTTCACTTTCTGTCCTCCTCCATTACCTCATCCAACACATAATTCTTGAAAGCCTGTTACGTCCCAAGCACTATGCTAGGTGCCAGGAATGAAACAAATAAGATACATCTTCCACCTTCATGGTGCTTACTCTCTGGTGATGAATGCAGATGTATAAAGATTAGTAAGAAGTCCAACTATCCCCTGTGCTATGAGAAAACCCAAACTACTTGGGCACTCCAGTTGCTGGCCCCAGCTGGCCCCAGCTGAGCCCAGTTTGAGTAATCCCAGGCCAGACATCAGACATGTGAGGGAAGAAGCCACCTGATCATATCAGCTCCCAGCAATCTGAGTCATGCCCAGCTGTTTGAGGATTCCCAGCCCCGGCCCTAGACACCGTGGAGCAGAGACAAGCTATTTCCACGGGCTCTGTCCAAATTCATGACACAAAAACCCCATAAGTCAATACCTTTACTTATGTTATTCTTTCTTCGTCCAGATGGAACACACTTCCAACTTTCTTTGCTTGGCTAGATGTTTCTTAAGACTCAGTTTAGGCCTTCTCTTGTCCAGGAAGCATTCCCTAAATGCTTCAGTTGGGGTAAGTGGCCCTTCTCTGGGTTGCTTTACTTCTCTAGCATTATGTAGAAATTACTTATTTTTGTTCACCCAGAAATTATGTGTATATCCAGCTTGGTACAAAGACATTCAACATATGCTCACTAGCTGAAGTACGTATAGACTCTACCGAGTGGACCCCAGGTGAATCCCTACAAACATTTGTCTGTAGCGCCTTCTTCCTCCTTCATAGCGTCCTTCAAGACCACCCACAAGCATCCCTTGCCCCAATTCACTTTCAGTATCACTAATCAGTGTAACTGAAAAATGACATTAGCTTAGAGTATGGGGTACACTTATGAGGGGGGGGAAGCCTCCAAAAGCATCATCTGGGTCCATGGATTGGCTAAAGTCTAATCACTTCGACTGTGATTATATACCAGGGATTTGAGCTGCACTCTCTCCTCTGCTATTCCTGGCGTGGAGACAAGTGAGAGCAGAGCCTGAGAAACAGAAGCACACTGCAGCGTAGAAACATGTCCAAAAGGAGAGAACCATTTGGGAGAGTGAGAACAGGGGAGAAGTCAGGATTACAGGAAGGCCAGAGTGTTTGCTCCTATTTAAGACTTTTAAAAAAAATTTTAAATACTACATTAGCACTTCTGGAGGGTATTTAACGATGATATGCCCCCACCCACACTTATGCTCTAAGACACTATTTCTCTTTGCTAGAGTTTATTTGGCCAGGGGTGGGCAAAAGCTAGGTCAGAGTCTCACCTTTGGGAGTTTGGAATTGAGACAGTCTCTCCATGTGGTAAGAACTATTGGCAACAGTAAAACTGGGGTAGCCAGACTATACAATGTAGACCAGAGAGACAGAAATGGGAGATAAGAGTATTGATGCCTCTGCTGTCCTGGTGTCAGTTCCCTTCTGTCTGTCCTGAGATTCTGGTAACCTCCCCCTACCCTGTATCCTTAGTATAATCCTCCTTTTCCCTTTCTGACTTCTAGTCATTGGGGTTGCTGTCACTTACAATCCAAGAATCCTAACTAATACAACAGTGGTTCCCAAACTGTGTGCTGAGGCACCCTGGGGCACCGTGTTACACTCATAGGGGTTCTTTGTTACTCTCTCACTTGGATAAAGTTGTTGTTATTTTTAACTCTTTCTTTCTCTGTGCTGTATGCTGTTTATGGATGGAGAAAGTTTGCTGACCACTAAGGAGATGAGGCTGGTTGAATAGACTGTCAGGTATAACTGAGGGGAGAAGCAGTGGTATTCAGGTTGGCCATCTGACCCTAACAGTCAGGAAAACAGGACAGCGGGTGGATCCGGGTATGAGAGGCAGAGCGCGCCCACTAGTTTATACATTTTGGTAAGGGAATTCATCCTATGTCCACCAGCTGGGTGATGAGCAAATCTAACCAAGTATTTATCGTTAAGGTTATTTAAAAAGCAAAATCCTAATTATGTTGAATTTTTGGTGTGCAACGGATGCAAATTAAAGAGCTTAAAATAAGAGGTAGATAACACGTTGACATATCTTGTGACCATAGTGGGAGAAAATGAATATGAAATTAATGAAAAAATCAACATTTATAAATCAAAAGGTTAAACTTTGCTAAAATTCACTTTACAAAGAACATGCCACCAGGGGTGGGAGGGGAGATAGATCAGCTTTATTTATGAAAAAAAAAAAAAAATCACTGACCAAACAATAAAAAGCCAAAACTAAAAAGACATTTTTAGTTACAATGTGAGCTGAAATTTTGTGTTTCTTTATGAATTCAATTTTAAAAAGAGAAATGTCTGAAATCAGCAATGGACAGGTCCTTAATCCACTTTTAAATCTTTCCCCACAAGCATGGCAGTCACGGGGTGCATACACGCCTTGTGCTCTTGGTAGGTATGGATGGCTTGATCGTGGGATTTGTCAAAGGCAGCAAGGTCCCTGCGTTTAAAAAGAAAAAAAAAAAAAGAAAGACGGATAATGACCTGACTTATTTCGGCAAATTTTATTACACTTGCAAACAAACAGATTAATAATAGATATTTATGTCTTCGTTACATTTTTTTCAGAATTCCTGCCAAATTCATAGTCAAAACAACTTCACTGAGATATTCTTAAATTGTGTCTTGTTGCCAAGATACAACTTTTTTCACTTTTACCAAGCATTCCTTTATTATATGTCAAGCAACCTAGTCTACCTTATTGCAACATTTGAATCAAAAAGGTTTGGCTTTACCTGTTTGATCCTTCTTGCATTTAACTTCGGACACTTTTTTCTTGTCCTTCCCTACTCATCAGTTATCTTCTACTTGCTTTTAAAGATCTTTTTGTGCATATAAGATTATCTTCAATTTATTTCCTTTTCACCAGGGTTAACCCTATTTGGCCCATAATAGGTAATCCATATATAAATCCTTCTAAAAAACTAGTGAAATCATCTCAAATTTTAAATGTTTAGAAGTGTCAATTCCTATTCTAAAATTGTATCTATAATCCTCAACAAATTTAAAAATATTATTTTTAGATTGCATTTTTCAAAGTATTTTAGCAACATCAAAAACATCTGTTTAAGATTTTTCTTCCCCA